ATTTCTTATATAATTTATTCTTTTAAAGGAAAAACAATTTTTTTTTGTTCGATTTGTGCTTAATTTAACTTTATGTTAATATTTTGAATTATTGCATTGCATTGCATTGATAGGAAGGAAAAAATAAATTGATAAACAAAAAAAAAAAAGTACTGAATAACAATAATTGTGTAATTTAGTGATAATTAATTAAAATAAAAAAAGGAGAAAAAGAAAAAAGAAATCAGATAATAATATAAGAAATTGTAATCTGCCGTATTTTTTTTTAGTGAAGTTATTATTATTACAAAACTTATAAGTAGATAGATTGGTAGACAGAGACTGATAAATACTGATAAAATTGATAGATAGATTAAATTGGTCGTCGGTTTAATTAATGATATGGTTGGTTTAGTTGAATTTAGGTTGATTAGTTGTTTCGTAGAATGGTTAGTCGATATGGATGGTTGAACGGTTGGTTGTTTGGTTGATTGGTTGGCTGGTTGGTTGGTTGGTTGATCAGTTTGATTAAATGAATGGAATGAAATGAATGAAAATCGATGGATGAAATGTTTGTAAATGATAAATTTGTAACGATTGTTGATTGGTTGATTGGTTAATTGTTAAAGTAATATTAGGAAAATCAATTTCCATTATAGAAAATCATGAATGATCATAAAATGTAACATGGATGAATCATTATCATTTAAACTAGTTTTTATTATTAAATTAATCTAATATAGCCCTACGGCAATTTTCTATTCTTAATCTTTCTTTTTCTAATTTCTTTCCATCTTTTATCAAAATTTACTTCCATTTTTCGTTCTCAATACAAAACTATTCATTGTTATCAACTTTAAAATGCAATTATTTAATTAAATACATTTCAATAACCGGTATATATGACGTTTTTTCCCTCTCTCTCTCTCTCTTTCTCTTTCCCTCTCTCTGTTGCTCTTTTTTTCCAGTTTCTTTGCTGTAAATGAAATACTAATTTGTTTGTTTTTTTTTTTTTGAAAGATATTCTAAATATCAGTAAAATGATTACATATTACATGTACGATTAATCAGCAATGTAATAAAATATAAATTTGTTGTTAATAAAAATTGTTAAAATGATAAAATGATTTAGTTGTGATATAAAATGCTAACTGATTAGCTATGATAAACTCTTCTTGATTATGTGATGAATAGCAGTGATACTAATGTAGATGTAATATTTCATGTGATATAATTTAAAAAAAAAAAAAAAACTTATCAGTGCTATTATATCAAAATTTCATGCAATAGTTGAAATGGCATTTTTATTTTTATTTTTTTTATACTAAAATATTTTTATATTTATAAAATATAACTTTAAAAAATGCTTTGTTTTGAAGTTTTTTTTTTTTTTGCTTTTTTGTTTTCTTCATTTTAAATTTGCTTAATATGTGAAAAAAATTTTAATAAAAATTTGTTATAAATTTGAACTTTTTTATCAAAAATCATTTGTTTTGTTTTTTGTCCTTCATTTTTGATTTTTTGCTTTTGTTTTTTTACATTTTAAAAGAAAATATTTTCTCCAATAATTTAATATTGTAATGAGTTCATTTCATATATTTGAATAATAGTTTATACAGAATTTCCCATTCTAAATTTCAATTTTGGATGTTTTATACTTTCACATCGAAATTAATTTTTTTTTTTTGCCGTTATTGTTTTTTTCATATTTATTAATTAAGTAGCAATTGAAATTTGTTTTAAAATTTGTTTCATTTTTTTTTCTCCTGCTTTTTTCTAATTAAATATTAATAAAATTTTAATTATTGTAATTCACTAATTCAATAACTTTTTCTTTTTTTTAAATATTATATTCTTTTTTTTGGGGATTTTCAACTTTAACCTTATCATATTTCATCAATTAACATTGCAATCCTATTTTTATTTACATTTTGGTATTTTTTTTTTATTTCCAATTTTTCATCCAAAAATATATTAAATATTCTCATTTAAATTAATTTTTATAAATTAATAATTCTTAAAGATTATAAAAACGGGAAAAAAAAGCAAAAAAAAAATTTATTACTATAATTACTTTTTTAAATGAATATAGAAATAAATTTAGTAATGATAATGATAAAATAATGATGTAATCATTAAATTACTCAACAATTTATCTTTCTAATATAAAATTTTTCTTGTTGAAAACGTGATTGTTTACGTTTATTAACGTGTAAAATTACAATGATAATTAAAAATAATGAAATCATTTTTTTTTTTTAACTTTGTAATCTTTATTAAGTTTAATTTTTTCACTTTTTCATTTTTTTGAATATTCATATATAATTCAAACTATAAGCCAAAATGATTTGTCACAGTTTGAATAAAATTTGTAGCAATAATATTAACTTATTCATTTCAAAATTTATAATAATTTACATAACATCAATTTATTGATTTAGAATTTTATTGTAGCTATTCAATCATTTTTTTTTTTTTGTAACCAAACGTTTTACTAGTTTTATTTTATAAAATAATTAATATTAATAATCTCAATTATATTAATTAATTTTCTGTCATCATTTCATAAAATCTTTTATCATTTAATTAATAATAATATCATTTTTTATGAAATACATTCAAAAATATAAAGTAATCATTTCTTTATTACATTAATCATAATTACTTCATTTTCTCCAATTTATCAGTGTCACTATTCTTTAGTCTATATATTGTTCTATCAGTTATATTTGATAAGCATTATCATTATCATTTACTACTAATCAATTTTATCAAAAAAGTTCCTTTCAATAATACAATTTACATTATTGATATCATATTAAATGCAATGATGCCAATAATTCATTAATTACCATTAAAAAGTAAATTAATTAATTAATTACTCTAAAACATGCGTTATTATTAAGTAAAAAGTGAAATTTTTATGAAAAAAAGATCAATAAACAATGTCACAATTATTTGATTTTACAACAATAATGGAAATAATATTACAATGCTTACTTAATATAACCATTAATTGCTAATTTTTAGAAATTATCACATTTCAAAACGACTATGAAATAAGAATTAATCACAATAAATAATTTAAAATTTTTTAAATTCATTAAAAAATAATTTCTTTTATATTTTAAATGCAGTAATTCGTTATTAATTACAATTAAAATTAATCACATCCAAAAATATTAACACTTGGATCATTAATCTAACACTTATTAATTTGAAATAATATATCATTTTAGCTTTTTTTCATTACTTACAAAATAGTATTGAAATGTTTTTCTAATTAAAAATAGCACAGATCACTCAGAGTAAAAGTGATAAATGATATGATAAATGCTAAAAGATTAAAATTATTGTACTATAAAGTGGCAAAAGAAAGGGAAAAACAATTGTAATGAGATTAATGAGATTAAAAAAATTTGGAACAAATGAAAGGAAATTTAAAAAATGAAAAAAGAAAATACTTTAGCAATAATATATTCAAATAAAAATAATGTTAAAATTTAAAAGACGAAATACAGGAAAGAACGTTTTTTAATGATATCAGTTACTTAAGTGATAACTTTTTATACATAGAAATTACATTATATCAGAATTAATATATTTAATAATACTAGCAGAGCTACTGCAAATATATGTATATGTATTCAAATTCTAACAGATATATATATATATATTCAAATTTTATATATAAATTTAACAGATAAAAATTGAATTGAGAATTTCAATTGCTGTAACATATAAAAATCACTAAGCCAATATTTTAAATCAATATTTTGATGATATGCATATTCAGATTTTAACAAATTTAAATTTAACTGAAAATTAAAACTGGCAAACTAAAGAGAATGATTAATTAATATATTCAAATTCTATTGAAAGCAAATTTATTTGAAGGTTAAAATGAGAAATAACATATGGGATTACTATTTAATATAAGTGAGAATATATCAAATATGCGGAGAGACCTTATTTTGAAAATGAAATCTCATTTTAAAATGATATTAAATACTTTAATTATAATGCCAAAAATATTTAACGTACTGCAAATTTCCAAAAAAAAAAAAATCAAATTTCAAAAATTTGATTATAATACTTAAAAAGTTTTCTCTCTCTTTGTTCTTTTCATCTTTTTCTCTCTGTAATTTAACTTTTTATAATTGAATCATTTTATTTCTTTTTTTTTATTTTTTTCATTTCTCGTTTTCTCTCTAAAGAAATAAAAAGCAATTTATTGTGTCAATTTAAATAATGGAAATAAAAATTACGAATATTTTAATTAAATTTGACTGAGCAAAGAATGGAAAGAAATCAAAAAATAAAAACAAAGACAAAAAGAAATATGTACAAAACTAGAGATTCTCTTTCATAATGATCAATTAATTAATTAATTAATTAATTGATTGATTAGTGAATTGGTTAATTAATTAACTGATTAACTTAATAAAAAATAAAGAAAAATTTTGACATTTATTTTAAAAAAATAACAAATTGTTTAAATTTTGAAACTTAAACGTTTACATCAAATTTAATCTAATTAAATGAATTTAAAGAAGAGAAAAAAAAAAACAGTGAAAAATTTAAGAAAAACTTTGATTAATGCAAATGATAACTTTTTTTTTCTTACTGTAAAAACTATTTGCTTACATTCTGTTTGTCAGTAATTTTTTTCTGTTATTTATTAAAACAATTAACTCATTACTTAAATATATTTGAGAAATAAAAATAATAATCGGTCACTTTAATTTATGAAAATATAATTTAAATTTAAATTGTCAAAAATTATTCACTTTGATATATTTGAGAAACAAAAATAATAATTCACCAATTTAATTTATGAAAATCTGATTTAAATTTTAATTGCTAAAAATTATTCTTTCTCACGTTTTTTTTTCTTTTATTCTTTTTTACTTCATCATTATTATAACAGTATAGTAATGATAATTGTAAAACAAAAATTGAACTTTCGCTTTTTTTTTTGTTTTTAATTTTTTTTTAAATTTTAATTTTCCCAATCACAATTATTGATATTTTCCATTCCGTAACCATTTCTTCTTGATCATCCATTGATCACACGGTTTTACATTCCGTCCATCAATTGCATTTGCCATTAAATCCATTTTAATACCATTAAATATTATATCACCAATACAACCAATAAAATTTTCCTCATGCAAACCACCGGTCATACTATTTAAATCCGGCACACCACCTGAAATGGGTCATTCATTCTTTCTCTTCCTTTTTTTTTTTTTTTACATTTTCAAATTTTTCATCTTTTCGAAATTAACAAATTAATGAATTTATCCTTCTTCTTTTTTTTTTCCCATTTTAAGTCTTCCTTTTTTTTTCCACTTTTTTCTTTACAGCGAAATAAATAATTTAAATAAGTACTACACAATTTAATTTTTTATAAATTTTGCCATTTCATAATTAAAAATGAATTAATTAATTAAACCTAAAATAAATTTAATAATTAAATAACTAAGTCTTTTTTTTCGTAATTTATTGCTTCTTTTTTGTGAGAGAAAAATGTTTTGGGATTTTTTTTTAAACAAAAATTACCGAAATTTAATAAAGTATTAAAATTAATGAATAAATTTTGTGGAATGTATTAAAATAATGATAAATTTCAAACATATTATTACCACTACCAATAGTAGTATAACTTAATTTCAGTAATTTTATAATAAGAATTCATGAAAAATATTTTGTTAATTGTCACATATTATTTTTCGTCTTACAATCATGCTAATAAGGAAAAAAATTGGGGAAAATTAGAAAAAAAATAAAAAATATTAATTATTTAATTTTTAAATAATTATTTAGTTATTATTTAATTATAAATAATGAATGAACATTTGAAATATACTATGAAAGAACCTATTTCACACCAATTTTTTTATTTCTATTTTCTATATCTGCTATCAAATCATCAGATTATTTCCTTTACTTTCTCTTTAACATACTTGATATTAATTTGTCTTATAATCATACTTATTTCCAATACTTATTCTTATTAATTATTTAATTATTAATTAATTACTTCCCGAATTTCGTTTCTTTTTCATGTCTTTTATTTAATTTACTTCTAACTAATATCTATTTGAAATACTTTTTAAAATTCACAGCAGAAAAAATTTGTTTCAAAAATATTATATTAATCTTCCAAAATTTGCATATATTTAAGTTTAAATAAAAATTTAACCAATATAAACATCGCCATCAACATTAAGCATAGCAACAATGCCAAATGATGAGCCTATAATTGGCGCTCCATCATCGATGATCAATTTTCCTTCGCGACCTTTGCGCCAAACTTGTAACTGATGCTCCTTGTCATCATTAACCACTTCAGCACTAATCAAATGTGATGCGCCACCACCAAGCTCATATCTTTAATTAGCATACAGCTAATTATTTGATTATTTCCAACTTAATAATATAAACAAAAAATTAATGAAATAAAAGTTTAGAATTAAAAGTACTAGAAATGAAAAATGAGGTAAATAAGTGATTCAAATTAATCATATATTGGACTATAATTTAAATTATTTAAAATAATCTAAGTAATTTTAAAATTCAAATGGATTTATTAAACTTACGAGAAGACCAAATGACCATCACTTAAGCCAATCGATAAATAATCATCACCTTTTAAAGGTGTGCCAAATGGTTGACCTTGCCAAAAAATCAGCTATAAAATTACTTTATTATTTCATTTATTCCATTAAAATTTAAATTATAATTTTTCATAGTGTAATAAATGTAATTGCCATATAGTACTTTTGAAACATATTTTTAATATCAAAATTCAATGACCTTTGCTTCATAAAACTTATTAATCGGTCACTTTAAAGTAAATGGTCAAGAGACTACCCAAAGTGAAGCTATGATACATATATGTATAATATGTAAAACTAAATCATTTTAATATCACTAGACAGGCAGGCTATAATAATGTTAATTAGATGTCAACAAAAAATATTAACTATTTAAAATAATCCATAAACTAATTAAACACCATTAATTACCTTGACTATTAATTAATTAAACTAGTCTACTAACTAATTTCACATAAATCAGTATTAATTAATAATTATTAGAACACATTTTATTATAAAAATAAATTTCAAGAATTGTTCATTTATTTTTTCAAAATAAAATTAAAACTGATACCCCAGATGATGCAGATGTTTTAAATCGTAAACTTAAACTTTCTTCATGCTCTGAAGTTAAATGTGGAAAATCATCGATGGAAAATACAATAAATGCTTTACCATCAAATTTTGCTGCATGTTCAATTGGTTTAACTGTAAATAATGTCATTTTTGTTTTGTTTTTTTTTTTTTTTATCCTTAATTTTAATTTTTTTTTTCAAATTACTCAAAAATTTATTTATTAAATTCATCTTTTTGTCAACAAGAAAGAATTATAAAAATAATAAAATATTGAAATAATAATATGAGAAAATAAATAATTGAAATAATCAAAAAATCAATTCCAAATTTTAGATTTTGAAACTAACAAATTTCACAGTTTGGACCATCATAATAATCACGACAGGAACATGCAATATGAGTTCCATTAATTATTTCACAGTCACCATGATCGCCACATATATCTGGCGTACATCGAACTGAACAATCTGAAATGATAACTATAATAATAATAATAATAATAATAATAATAATAATAATAGCAATAAATAATGATAATAAATAAATAATAATAACAATAAATAATGATGATAGTAATAATAAATAATAACACTGACAAAAAATAATTGTTGACAAATAATATTAACAATAACAATAAATGATGACAATGATAACAACGCTAATAGTAATAATAATAGCAACTGAATAATTATAAAAATTCAATCTGTTTTGATAATTATCACTAAGATAATAATGATGATAAGGGAATTGAATCACTATTTTTATTTTATAAAATTATTTAAATTTAAAAAATTAGAAAATTATTTAAATTGTTATTCATATTACTAATAAATTGTTAACAATTTATAAAGAAGAAAATTTTAAAAAGCTCATAATTTTTGAATTTAGCAAAATATTTGCATTTAATTTTGTAAAGTAAATTCAAATATATTTTTTTTTCAATTTTCTTTTGTTTATTTTTTTATAATTTTTTTTTTTGAAATGAATGTTTATATATTAATGCTAATAAATAATTCATTTGCATATTTAGTCGCAGCATTTATATTTTAAAATTATTTCAACCTAATATATGCAAAATTTTGCACATTTAATTTATCAATTATTCAATTAATTAAAATTCGAATAGAATATTCGAAATAGTATTTAATACGGAAAAAAGTAAAGTTTACTTACTATCATTATCAGTGCATGATTCTGTTATCACTGCATCTGTTACTCTGATTTCTTCTGGTTCTGTTATCATTGCATCTGTTACTTTAATTTCATCAGTGCTTTCGATTGGTTTCATTTGTGAATACTTTGACGTTGTAATACGTATTGTTGTACGTGTCGTTGGTATTGACGTAGTCCAAACGAATGGCACGTGAATGTCTACGTCTTCTTCAGTCGTATACGGTTTACATATTGTTACATCATGTGATGATTTTTTCAGTATTTGAGTCAAATTGATATCCATTCCATTTAAAACAATCTTTAATTACATATAAATATATTGGATAAAATTATTTGAAATTTAAAAAAACTTTCTAAATTACATAAATAATACAAAGTATAATTTAATTAATAGTCCTCTAAATGATAGAGTACCACCAATTCTAGGATTTATTATAATCCCTAATGGTATACCACCAATTATAATATATTAAAAGGAAATAATTTCACCTGGTTAAATAATTTCGTTTTAAAATAATTTTTAGTTTAATTCAAAGAAAAGAAAAAAAAAGTGAAATAAACCTTTGAAATACATCCTCTAAATGATGCAGCACCACCAATTCTAGGATTTACTGTAATTCCTGATGGTATACCACCAATAAATAAATTTGTGCCTGGCAAAAATGTTGAAAGTTTGCCACGAGTCGGTACTTTTGTGCCATTTATTCGTACCTCAGCTCGGTTACCAAACCGTTTCAGGTCAATATGATACGGTACATTTATCATTACATCATCCGGTGATTCAATTTCTATATTACCTAAAAAATATTTATGCAAAAAGAATTATATTATTAAAAGAGAAAGTTTTTTTTCCTTGAAATATAAAAGAAAATAATTTAGTTCTTCCTTTTTTTTTTTTTTTTGGAAAATTAATTCATATAAAAATTTAAAAAAAAAAGCGCTAACAATTATGATTTAAAAAAAGCATAACGAACTTCAAAATGATATCAAAAAGAGCAAAAACATAAACAATTAGAAAGTGTGAAGAAAATTGGGGATGAAAACTATTGATGGCAAAAAAGCAAAACAAAAGAAAATTGAAAAAATCAGAATCCCAAAGAGAGATGAAAAAAAAAGAAAAAAAAACAAATAAATAAATATTGCCACCATTCTGAAAGTAAAGAAATAAGGAGGAAAAAAAAAAAATAAATCATCTCGGCTAGTGTAAAAATCAATTGTATCTACTACTGTAAATAAAAACTATTGTAAGCACATAACCATCCCCACTACTATCAAGAGAAGCAGGTAAATAAACTAGCCATCTCCTTTCCTATCAGGCTAAACAAACAAATAAACAAACCATCTCCACCACAATTAGAATAAAAAACAAATAAACAAACCATCACCGCTATTAGAATAAACAAACCATCTCCACCAATATTGGGATAAACAAACATATCAACCACCAGCAGGATAAATAAACAAACCAACCCAACCACTATCAGGGTAAACAAACAAATAACGAAACCATCTCCACCACTATTAGAATAAAAAACAAATAAACAAACCATCATCGCTAATAGAATAAACAAACCATCTCCACCAATATTGGGATAAACAAACCATCACCACTATTAGAATAAACAAACCCGTCTCCACCACAATGGGATAAACAAACCATATCAACCACCAGCAGGATAAACAAACCATCTCAACCACTATCAAGATAAGTAAACAAATAAACAAACCATCCCATTACTATCAGGGTAAACAAACAAATAAACAAACCATCCCACTACTATCAGGGTAAACAAACAAATAAACAAACCATCCCACTACTATCAGGGTAAACAAACAAATAAACAAACCATCCCACTACTATCAGGGTAAACAAACAAATAACGAAACCATCTCCACCACTATTAGAATAAAAAACAAATAAACAAACCATCTTCACTACTATTAGAATAAAAAAGAAATAAACAAACCATCTCCACTACTATTAGAATAAAAAACAAATAAACAAACCATCTCCACTACTATTAGAATAAAAAGAAATAAACAAACCATCTCCACTACTATTAGAATAAAAAACAAATAAACAAACCATCTTCACTACTATTAGAATAAACAAAGAAATAAACAAATAATCTCCACCACTATCAGGATAAGTAAACAAATAAACAAACCATCTCCACTACTATTAGAATAAAAAACAAATAAACAAACCATCTCCACTACTATTAGAATAAAAAAGAAATAAACAAACCATCTCCACTACTATTAGAATAAAAAACAAATAAACAAACCATCTTCACTACTATTAGAATAAACAAAGAAATAAACAAATAATCTCCACCACTATCAGGATAAGTAAACAAATAAACAAACCATCCCACTACTATTAGAATAAAAAACAAATAAACAAACCATCCCACTACTATTAGAATAAAAAACAAATAAACAAACCATCTCCACTACTATTAGAATAAAAAACAAATAAACAAACCATCCCACTACTATTAGAATAAAAAACAAATAAACAAACCATCTCCACTACTATTAGAATAAAAAACAAATAAACAAACCATCTCCACTACTATTAGAATAAAAAACAAATAAACAAACCATCCCACTACTATTAGAATAAAAAACAAATAAACAAACCATCTCCACTACTATTAGAATAAAAAAGAAATAAACAAACCATCTTCACTACTATTAGAATAAACAAAGAAATAAACAAATAATCTCCACCACTATCAGGATAAGTAAACAAATAAACAAACCATCCCACTACTATTAGACTAAAAAACAAATAAACAAACCATCTCCACTACTATTAGAATAAAAAACAAATAAACAAACCATCTCCACTACAAATAAACAAACCATCCACTACTATTAGAATAAACAAGAAATAAACAAAAACAACTATCAATAAAAACAAATAAACAAACCATCCCACTACTATTAGACAAATAAACAAAAACTACAAATAAACAAACCATCTCCACTACTATTAGAATAAAAAACAAATAAACAAATAATCTCCACCACTATCAGGATAAGTAAACAAATAAACAAACCATCCCACTACTATTAGAATAAACAAACAAATAAACAAACCATCTCCACTACTATTAGAATAAACAACAAATAAACAAACCATCTCCACTACTATTAGAATAAAAAACAAATAAACAAACCATCTCCACTACTATTAGAATAAAAAGAAATAAACAAACCATCTCCACTACAAATAAACAAACCATCTCCACTACTATTAGAATAAAAACAAATAAACAAACCATCTCCACTACTATTAGAATAAAAAACAAATAAACAAACCATCTCCACTACAAATCCAAATAAACAAACCATCCCACTACTATTAGAATAAAAAACAAATAAACAAACCATCTCCACTACTATTAGAATAAAAACAAATAAACAAACCAACTAATTTAAACAAACCATCTCCACTACTATTAGAATAGAAAAACAAATAAACAAACCATCTCCACTACTATTAGAATCGAATAAACAAACCATCTTCACTACTATTAGAATAAACAAAGAAATAAACAAATAATCTCCACCACTATCAGGATAAGTAAACAAATAAACAAACCATCCCACTACTATTAGAATAAAAAACAAATAAACAAACCATCTCCACTACTATTAGAATAAAAAAGAAATAAACAAACCATCTCCACTACTATTAGAATAAAAAACAAATAAACAAACCATCTCCACTACTATTAGAATAAAAAACAAATAAACAAACCATCCCACTACTATTAGAATAAAAAACAAATAAACAAACCATCCCACTACTATTAGAATAAAAAACAAATAAACAAACCATCTGCACTGCTGTAAAAGTAAACAAATTTTCCGCGACGTATTGCAAATGCTAAATAATTGGATCGTTTTGGATTATAATCACTTGCTTGGTATGCTAATAATTGGTCGTTCGTTGAGCGCGGCACAATTTCCATTTTTAACTAAATTATGGTAACATTAATGAATAATATTTATCTTCTGGACAATTTTAATTAATTTAATTAGAATAAAAAATCGAAAATAATTTTACTGAAAGTTAAATGTAACATAATGTTCAAAGAAATAGAGTAATTATTTTGCTTAAAACTAGTAAATTTATACAAAACAATAATTTGTAATATTAGTAGTTAAAATTTGAAATTGCTTGAATTAATAGAATCTATAATTAGTAATTTTTTCTTCAAATAATAATGCTAATAAAATGTTTGAAATGGTTTTCCAAGCAAATAACAATATTAATAGCTGAAAATTAATTAATAAAGCTTACTAATGTAAAGCTAATTTAAACTATTCACGTTATTATCAATGTCAAATTCAAAAAAAAACTTCATCACATATTACATGTATGGAAATTCCGGAAGTATATTATTTTCCGGAAATGTATTCTATTAGACTTTAGTTCTTGTTAGCTGCTTATATTTAAATAACAATAATTTTAAAAAAAAAAAATAAATTTTTAATGTTAAAAAGAACAACTTTTTATTCCATTAAAAATACAGCAGTGAGAAAAAAAATATATATAAAAAAGTCATTTTAACTCATTTACAGCTTTTTCCCTATCTATAATTGATAAATTTTTATAATTTTAATATTTTTCAATAATTTAGAAGAAAAAAATAATTTAAATTTTTATTTATTTTTATTAATACATAAAATAAGCAAAAAACATACACTAAAATTACGAAGTGTTTTTGATTTTGGTAATACAATGTATGAGGTTTCACCATTAAATTCAACCGATTCAATAATATTATCAGTCTCGAGCAGTTGACAACGGTCACCGTATCGTCCAGTTGGACAATTGCAAAATTGTGTACCATCCATTCGATACTCACATGTTCCACTTCCACAGGTAACTTTAAAAATGAAATTTTTTGAAATTCTATTTATATGAATGAATGACAAATGTGAAGTAAATAAAATTTTTTTTTTTTAGAAAAAACGAAAATGAAATTTTTAAAATTGTATTTGTATAAATGAATGACATATGTAAAATAAATAAAATTTTTAATTAATTTCTAGAACAAAAAAAAATTTTATCATTTAATTTTTCTCAATTGAAAAAAAAAGAGAAAAAAAATGATCATTTAATAATTATTTTTAAAATTAAATTTGTTTTTTTTTTTTTGAAATAAATGAATAAATGAATTGCTGCTTATCAAAATTATTTTTTTTTAATATTTTCTCTCTAATATATACTCTAATTTGTTATCACTAATAATACCTTAATTAAGATAATTAATTAAAAAATAATTACTCCATAATATGTATTACATAGAATCAAAGCAATACAGTATTGAAAAAAAATTTTTAATTTATTATGTTTGTAATCACTAACTGTCAATTAATTTTTTAAATATATGAAAAAATACTAAATTATTTTTTATAAAATTTCGAAACTTTCTTATTTTTTTAATAATAATAAATTAAAAATAATTGAAAAAAATTAAACCAAACTCTCTAAATTATTTGTCAAAAAAAAAAATAGAAAGACAAAAAGAAGAAATGACAGTACCGTGATTGCATTTTAAAATTTTGCGCTCGCAGAATTCACCTTCATAACCTTTGACATTTGAACAATCACATATAAAACCATTGTGAATATTTGTTGGTATACAAATTGAATTATGTTGACATAATCCTAATGAACACGCCGCATCCTTTTGTATATTTGCTGATTTTGCAATTGCATTTTCACCAAAATTAATTGTTTCATCAGATATTATTAGTGATGTAATTGTTCCTTAATTAAATAAAAAAAAGACGGAATGAATTTTTTTTTTCTAATTAATATTAATTAATAAATTATATATAAACAATAGTATAACCTAAAAAAAAAAAATTTATGCATGCATTTTACACATGAATTTTAATACAAAAATAATAAAATAAAAAATGAAAAAAAGAAAAACTGCCATTTTAATAGATATATTTTATTAATTTTAAATAATTTATTAATGAAAAAAAAAAACAATCAATATAGAGCAAATCAATTATTTAATTAAGAATGAAAAGAAAAAATGAATACTATGATAGTAAATAATTTAATAATTTTTTATTCAATCTATTAATGAGACCGATAAAAAATTAAAAATGGAAACAAAAAAAAAAAAAAAAACTTTAAAATGGTAAAATTGAAAACAAAAAAAAAAAAAAAAAAGAAAAAATGAAATAATACCAATAAATGGTTGTTCAAACATTGTACGTTCGAATATTTTTTTATCTTTGGTACCACCAACACTTATAATATTTGATATACCTTCACCAGTATTAAAGTAGTAATTATCCTGTTCAATTATATCATCTTCATCAACAAGTAATGTAGCTGTAATTAAATATTTTTTCACTGTTACTTTTATTTTTATTTACTGTTTCGCTTAAATAATGCTTTTAAATTAGCAATTAGAAAAAAAAAAATTAGTATTGGTTTTTCAAAATTAAAAATTAAGAATGATAGAAAATAAGAGTTATGATTATAATAATAATAATTATTACTATTATAAATGAAAGCATTAATTAATTTAATTAAATAATTATGCAAAAAAAATGGAAAATTTCTTTAAAGAAAAATTTGAAAAAGGAAAAAAAAAAGGAACGATTAAATAAATAAATAAATAAATATAAACCTTGACTTGGTTGATTAACTAATTCAATTTTATGCCATTCATCCATTACCACTGGATAAGTACTCATTAATTCAGCTTAAAAAGTAAAAAACAAATTTTATAAATGTAATTGTTTGACTTTTAAAAAAAGACAAAATTATAATAATAATGATAATGTGAAAAAAAAAAACTGTTTAATCTTTAAATAAAAAATTATTACTTTAATTTTAAAATTTTCAAATAAACAAATAATAGTAAAAACTAATTTTCTTTTTTAATTTTTCATCAGCTTTTTTTTTGCTTTTTTTTTTATTTTTCCAATAATGCTTAATGTAGTTGAAAGATTAGTAAAAATTTAAAAAAGCAGTAATAAGAATCACTTTGATACTCAACAATTATTCAAATAGAAATTTAATTTGTTGATAAAATACTGATAATTTCTGTCAAATAAAATATTTGACCAAATTATTCTTAAAAGAGAAATAATAATTCTAAAAATTCTAACCAAATTAAATGAACAGAGAAAAGAAAATTGAATTTTTTATTTTTTAATTACTTATCTTTTTTCTAATAATAAGTAAAAGATGATGATAATTTGTGTATGCGTGATAAAATCTGATAAATCATTTCTGATATAATTTCCGGTTGAAAATAAAGCAAACCTGGTCCGGCACCAACATTATATCGATAGATTACATGACCATTTTTTAATCCAACACTCAAATAATTAATTATTTCTTCCGGATTCCTCGCATTTTGTCGTGCTGTATATAATAGCAAACCTGAAATGGCATCATTTCAGGAATTTTTTTTTTTTGTATAGGTTCTGGAGAAGATTTTAAAAAATTTTCGAATTTTATTTAATACCAAATAATATTTCCATGTTTATTACTTTCTATCTAAATTTATAATTTTAATAAATTTATAGTGTAAATATTTTTCATTTCTTCAGGAATAAATCTAGAAATTTCGAATTATTCAAATTTTAGCATTTTGTTCCTTTATGACAAATCTGAAATGATAAAATGTATGGCTTTTAGAAATGATTAGAAAAAAGAAATTATCCATTTTTATTGCTAATAAACAATATTTTCAGAATTAACACACATAATACTAATAATAATAATAATAATAATAATAATAATAATAATTCATATTGTGTAAACAAGGTGTGAACAAAAAATGATATCTATTTATGATAGTTTAGTTTTATTTTGATAAAATTAAATTATCAATACAGAATTACCAACTTACCATTAGGTGATTTAGGTTTGAATGAAATTTTCACATTAATATCACTCCATTGCTCATCCGTCAATGGTTTTAATTCCAAATAATCGTCTCCACCAAATAATGGCACAAAATCTATTCAATGAAATTTTACTCGTAAAATTAAAATAAAATAATAATTCACTCAAAACACAAAAAAAAAATTTTCTTTTTTAAATTATTTTCATTTACAAAAGAAAAAATTTCTAAATTAAAAAAATTGTTATTGTTTATTAAATTTTCTGTTTGTTTATTTATTTTTTTATTATCGTTTGTTTATTATTATTTGTTTCTTTGCTTTGAGATATATTTATAATTGTGTAATTAGTACTAAAAATTAAAAAAAAAAAAAGAAATATTTCTTTTCTTTTTCTTGCATAATTCAAACAATGCAACATAATATGAATATAAGTAAATACCGGAGACTTTTAAGTGAACATGTGTAACGGTTGCTAAACCGGAATCAGTTCGTATGATACATCGATAAATTCCTTCATCCGTTCGTTTAGTATCTTTCAGGTGTAGAATACCTTGCCGAATTGAATAAGCATATGGTAATTCACCGTTAACTTTTTCCCACTTCACTTCACCGTATACACCAGGTGCACCAGTTGCAGGACATCGTAATTCAATCTACAGGTAAATCATTTAAAGTTCTTTTAAATTGTATATTTGAAATATCATTTAGAATTGATAATAAATTAACAAAAAAAAAATGGTATTTAATAATTGTAGTGGATAATTCGCTATTTTAAAAAAAAGGGATATCGTAATATTTAGATAACTAATAATATTGATATTGATAATAATAATAATGATTTTATTAATGGTAACGACAATATTAATAACAATAATAATGGTAATAGTAGCAATGACAATAGTAATAATATATCAATATAGACTAATTGATATACTATTACATCAATTTCAGAAACTTACAAACGTCAAAAATTGAATCAAATAAATTGTTTTCATTTTTATAATTTAGTATAATTATGCGAAATATATTTAAAATTTTCATTAATAGTAACGACAATATCAGTAATAATGGTAATATCAACAATAATAATATATTATCTAAAATTTAAATATACAGATAGGATCAAATTTTACAGTATATTTGAATACATTTAATTTATTTTAAATCAAATTTCAACCTGAATCATTTACAATTAGTGATTGCTTATTAAATTTTCAACCTGATATTATGATAATTTTAATATATATTATATTAATATATTTTCAAATCATTGTATGCGATCATTACAACAATTAATTAATTAGTCAATTAAAAAGAAATCATAGAAAAAATTGATCGCTACACGTAATGCATAGCAAACAAAATTCACATAATAAATTTTTATGTTTTGTTTAATCTTATATTATGGTATACTTATCAGTGCAAAATATAATTGACTCATTGTACATTAGTGATAAATGATTATTGATAAGTGATAAATGACTTAAAATCATTAAGCAAACTGACCTCTTCGCCAATAGCTGCAGTAATAACTGGAGCACTCTCTTTAATTCGTTGCATACTTTTGCTTGGTATTTCATCTAAATTTATACATTTTATTTAATATTTTAAAAATTGAAAAAGAAAAAAAAATTTTTTTTCTTTTATTCTAAATTGCAAATATTTTTAGACCAAAATGAAAAATAAATTTTAATTTTTGCTTAATTATCAAAAATTAATGAAAAAAATTCTTTTCCCTATCCTATATTAATTAATTTTAATGGTTTTTCTTTCAGAAATTTATTACTTATGTAATCTATAATTGAAAAAAAATTGAAATTTTTGAATTCGTTTTCTTTATATTGAGAATTTAATAAAATAAAGTTTTTTTCAAATTTTTCCCTAGCAAGAAGTGTTAATAGGCGATATTTATGTGATCATAAATCACATACGAAAATTAATTATTTAATTAATTAGTCATGTGATTGTTATTATTAACGTCCATTATTATTTATTGTTCCAAGGAATTAAATTAATATGTCCTCAAATTGTTAATTAAATTTTCTCTCTATATGCTAGCTAAAAAGTTAGTAAAACTAATTAAAAGCTTCAAAAAATATACTAAATCTTAATTACCAACTAGGTTTTTTTTTTGTTTAAATTTGATTAATTTCAAATATTTGTCATTAATTTTGTGATAAAAGTGAAATTTTTGGCTTAAGTTCAATAAATATAATAATTGACTGCGTTACCAAAACAAAAAAAGAAACTTTTTTTGTCAGTTTTATTTTGCTTTACGATTATCAGTAAACATTTTTCTTTTTTTTTTCGCATATATGTGATAATACCATTCATCAGATAATTTATGATTAATTTTTATTTCTTATTTTTCGTTTTCAATAATCAGAAAAAAAAATTAGCATTTATCTTCTGTGTGAATCGCAATATCCAACATTCTTTTAACAATTTTATAAAATACCAATCATTCAATAAATACTATTCCCAAATTTTTATATTGTAATTTTGATGTAATATTTTTTAATATTGTTTCTTTTTTTTCTCATTTTTTTTCTTTTTAATACATGAATATATTTTAATTCGATTGAAAGTAGATATGTAATGTGTGGGTGTGTGAGTGGGTGTATATGTGTGGGCGTTTGTGTGTAGGTGTGTGCGTGGGCGTTGTGCGTAGGTGTTTTGTGATTTATATATTTTAATAATATATCACTTTCCTGACAGGAAACATGCATGAAGCTTATAAATATTTGTAAAAAAAATATCGACGAATATGTTCGCAACGATGACAACAAATACAGCAGAAATAATAGTAAAATAATAGCAATAGTTGTAATTTGTGTAGTTGTAATAGTAATTATTGTTGTAGTAGTAATTGTAGTAGCAGTAGTAGTAGTAGTGGTAGCAGCAAAAACAAAAACAATAACAAATTGGCACCATCACCATCACCGTAACCTCCAGCATCACTAACCATTATCATCAAACACCACCATCCACCACCATTATTGCCGACAATAAGCAGCAACAACAATAAATAGCAGAAACAAAAATAACACGAACAATAACAGTAACAACGATAGCAACAACAACAGTTACAGTAACAGTAACAAGAGCAACAACAAATAGTAACGATAAATTTTATTATTATTAATTAATTTTCTTTTTTATGCAATAAGTAAATGAAAAAGAAAATTTGCCAATTGACATAAATAGAGAATAAAGAAAATTGAAAAAAAAAAAAGTATTTTAAAAGAAATGAAAAGAAATTGAAAAGAAAAAAGGAAGAAAAGCATAAAGAAAGGAAAAAAAGGATGGAGAAATTTGATAAAAGAGACAAATACTTAGTTATTTTATCATGATAAGATGATATTATAGTGATAATAATAATGAATGGATTACAATGATAAAAAGAAGGATATTAAGAGAAAGAGAAAAAAAAAGATAGAATCAATTATCAATTAATTTATATGCATATCATCAATAATTATGGTTGATTTTATTATTATATATATTCAAAAAACAATAAAAGGTGAAAAATACAAAGAGGAAAAATGAAAGAGATAGAAAGAAAGAGGAGAGAGAGAGAGGGAGAGAGAGAGAAAGAGATGATCAATAAAAACAGTGAGGAAATCAAAAAAAAAAAAGAATTGAAATTGAAATAAGGCATTTAAAATTTAAATGAAAAAAGAATTAACATTTAAATAAGGCAGTTTAATATTGTATGCGTAGATGGTGGTGATGATATTTGTGAAAGATTTTGATTTAAATGAAAGATTTAAATTAATTCAAATAATTTGCTACTCGATTATAAAAAATAATAGAAAATATAAATAATTTCCCTTTTTCATTAAAATATTTATAAGTAAATTAATTTTTACTCAAATACAAATAGCTAAATTATTGCAAAAATTTTCTAAAAAAAAATCTAAATCGAAGAAAAAATGATGCATTTATCTGGTTTTGAATGGAAAGACAAAAATGAATATCAATTTTGTTTCGATTTTTAATTTTCTGCTAAGAAAGAAAAAAAAAAATGGAAAGAATTGAAATTTGAACAAATAAAAATAATTCGAAAAATCTTTCATTATTTGATTTCATTTTAATCGTTAACAATTTTAATCTCAATAATTCATTTGTTTAAAATTGAAATTTTAATCAATCAAATCTAACACGAGTAGCTATTATTTGAATAGTTAGTAAACAAGAAAAAGGATTATATGAAAAGGTAGAAATTAAATTTTGAAATTTAAACTAAGTTAAATTAAACTAAAATGCATAATGAATTCAAAGAAGTATGGCGGTGATTGAATACTTGGATAATGGAAAAAAAAAAAAAAGGAAATAAATATAATTAATGTTAAATGGCAGTGTAGAAATGAATTGAGAAATAGCAAAAAAGGAGAAAGGCATAAGCGATATAAAAGAAATTTTACTAATTATATAAAATTAGAAATGAATAATTTAAATACCCAATTAATTAATTAATTAATTAATTTACTTAAGCATATTGACAAGAACAAATAATCCGTTTTTGAAATGATTTATTAGATGAAAAAACAAGAAAAAAAATTGCTAAAGAAACAAGAAAAAAGGCCTAAAAAATTAGGCACTGTCACCGAAGTAAGTATAATTTAAGGCTTCTTTCAATGCTCAAAAATATATATATTACAATCAAAGAGAGACGGAGAGAGAGAAATGTTAAGAGTAAAATAGATGAAGAGAGAGAGGGTGAAAGAAAAAGAGAAGAGAGAAAACAATTTCTAATATTTTATTAATACTTCGCTTTTAATTTAGAATTTGCATAGCTAAGTGCATAAATGAAATGAAAAAGGAGCATTTTTTTTTTTAATTTAAATGAATAAAGAAAAAAAAATTCGAAAAATTAATTAGACACAGTCACCGTAAAGATTAATCAAAAATTTAATGAAATATTTTAATTCGAAATTTTAATTGTTTAATCATTTTTTCTCTTTCTTTTTTTTCCTTTTTTGCTAAAACAATAAGAAGCTTTTTTGTTCCTTCTTTTTCTTGGCAAAACAATAAAGGCAGTGCCAAAAGAATAACAATTACAGCAGTATTATTAGTGTAATTAGCTCTAGTGATAGCGATAGGTGATAGCAACAATAATAGTTATAATTATCATAATGATAAGTATGAGTGATAGTAGTAGTAGTAGTATTATAGTGAAATTTATATAAAATAAAATTTAATTTAATAATAACTTTTTTTTTGTTTCCTTTCCCAAAAAAAACAAAGAAAAGAAAAAAAAATTATATTCGTGTGGAATTTTTTTTTTAATTTTGAAATACTTGTAAATACATTTTTAAAATTTTGATAAAAGTTTTTTATTTTTGTTTTTTTTTTTTTGTTTTTTAAATTTTTATTCTTTCTCTTTCACTTTAGCTAGACGTAAACCAAGTGCCAAAAATGGAAGAACTATGCTTCATTTTCTTATCATTATTCCCAGCCTCCTTATGGGCACGTTTTTCTTTTTTACGTGAAATACGCTTTCGCTTGCGTTTTGCTATTCCAACATTGAGCACATTTCGTGTTTCCAATGGACCAGCTTTTGTTTTTGCGTGACACTTATAGATACCACCGTTATCTTCACGTACGTTTACAAACAATAAACGATTACCCATAACCTAAAAATTATTTCTTTTTTTTTTTAAATAAATTTTATTTATAAATTTGAAATAAATTTTTGATCAAATTTTGGCTTTTTCATAATTTTTTAAACTTATATTTAATAAGCATTCTACAAATTTAAACTTATTATTATTATTATAACTCTTCTTTTTATTTCTCTTTTGTAATTACTATTTTTTTTTCGCATAAAATGAATTTCTTATTATCAATTAGAAGATTTTTTGATATCAATATTATCAATAGCAAAAAAAGTGAATCATTATCACAGTAAATTATAACAACAATTGATTAAAGTCTAAAATATGTTTATAATCTCACATATCTTTATTAAAAGAATCTTATCAAATACTTTATTTGCTAGATGATAACAATCCTAAATGATAAGAATAATCTTAAAGTGCACACTTTTTTATCTATGTGTAAATTTATGATAATAAGCAAAATAAATTTATATTAAAATTTTAACAAAAAAAAAAAATTATATAATATCAAATTATAAACAAGGATTATATCATCATATTAAATTATATTTCCGGAATTAAAAAATTTTCAAACTTAGAACACCAGCAGTTTTTAAAAATTCATAGCGATAAAACTAAATTCCTGTCCATATTAAAATATTTATGAATAATAGTACTAATAATTAAAAAAGATTGATAAATTAGTTTTAAAAAGAAAAGAAAAAGTCCGGAAAACCTGTGTATTATCCGGTAATTCATCTTCACCCTCTTTTGTCCATGTTATTTCAGCATCCGGATCACCGGTTACTTTACAATCAAACCATGCTCGATCACCCAGTGATATACTTTCCGATGATGGTTCCAGCAATACTTGTATTATTGTATCCGGAACTAAAAAATTTACAGCAAAAATAATTTGAAAATTAATAAATTTTTACTATTCGCATGCTAATAATT